GAGAATCAATATATCCAAATATACCGGACTTCTCCCAGAGTCCCTCCGCTGGTTTGCTGCTGATGTATAGACAGATGATCTCATGAGACCTCTGCCACATTAGGCCACTGTGTCTCATCTATCTTAAGTGCATATACGAGCTGTGATTACTGCTGCGCCTGAGCGCCTCACATCTGGAATGTATTTATCCTCCCATCGGTCCTGCGAGACGAGGGACCGCTGTTGTAGCTCTTCCAGGGAGGATGGGGAGGTTAAACGGACCGATCGCCGCGGACACCCGGGCCGTGGCGATGTCGGGACCCTCCGAGCATCTCCCCCGTCTCGTGCCTCTGCCTTGCGAAGCGCCCGCTCCACAAATCACAGCTCGGGTGCCGCTCAGGACTCCGGCTCCGCACGGGAGCTAGCTTTGAGCACCGAGCCTAATCCTGAGATTAATGAGGGATTCCCGCCATAAACGAACGGCCCGCTCCACAAATCACAGCTCGGGTGCCGCTCAGGACTCCGGCTCCGCACGGGAGCTAGCTTTGAGCACCGAGCCTAATCCTGAGATTAATGAGGGATTCCCGCCATAAAGACCTCTTGATCAGACCTCTTACGAGTAAATACACCATCAAGCCAAACCGTAGTGTTTTCCTACCCTGGCAGCCGCTGTCTTAAGCCTTACACCAGAATCCATCATACTACAGCAACAATCAAAGCGCAATTAGACAAACCCACGGCAGAAAAGTCCATCAAGGGTCGTTAAGGATGACGACTCAGATGCGGCCTCCAGCTCAGGACACCCGCAGACCGGTGTCGGCCAGCGAAGGTATCTGCATGCACACACCTGGTTTTTCCACCCTTTCCTCGTGTCCCTGGCCCCGTCACGGCAGGATAACCACGCTTGCCGTCTGACCACGGAGCCCTCATTATCGTTACTGCTAAGCTTCTCCCGGACAGAGGCTGCCAAGCCCTCGCCCATCGCAGGAGAGCCCTCACGGCAGCTCCTCAGCACGTTTCCCGAGCTCAGCGGGAGGCACGGCGAGTCTCTGCTAGCGAGCGGCTCCGTGTCGGCGGCAGCCCCGGCGAGTCTCTGCGAGCGAGCGGCTCCGTGTGCTTTGGCATCGCCCTGCACCCGCAGGGATGCCGGGCTTCTTCCTTGCCAAGCAACTCCGGCCTTCGTCTGCCGAGAGATGAAAACCGGCCTGACAACATGGCAATCGCCATGACAACATCAGAGTCACCCCAAAAAATAAATAAAAAGCTCAGTAACTATGGAAACACCGGAGTGACCCAAACCAGACTATTCACTACAAGACCTCTCCGCAGTTTACAGATGGCATCGGCACCGCGAGGCTGGGGGCTGCAACGCATCCGAAGCCTTCAAAACAAACAGACGCTCGGCACCCACGGGTGCAAACACGAATGTGCGTGGGCGCGCGCGACACTGCCTTTCACACCCCGATGTCCGAGTCCCCTGCACAACCTACATCTCCTCTGGAAAGGCGCTGCTGCCTTCATGCTGGATGTGAAATCCTTGACCACGGTTCTCCGCATCCCTCTCTCCCTCTTTGCCCTTCTCCCTGCCGAGGACACCTCTCTTGACTGCCATCCTAACGGTCCTGGCACTGCAGGGGTGCCAAGGTGGGAAGGGACTGCTCCATCGCATGCCAGAGCTTGGCTTCCCAGCATGGTTTCGGTGAGCTGCGTTTTGAAGCCCTGGTGGCAGCCATGCTGTCAGCTGGAGCATCCCAGCCCAGGGCAGAGCCCCAAAACAGTTAAGCCTCCGCTGCCGAGGCAGAGGAAGCTGTCACTACACCAAGTCCCCTCCTTTCTCCACCTCAACCTGTTCAGCTGCGTTAACAGGAGTTGCCGTGAGTTAGTGCAGCACTACTGGGAAAAGAAATACAAAAAGATAGAGAGGGGCGAGACAGAAGACAGGCTGTAGCAGCACATCTTGGTAGAACTGGGTTCACAAAACCCTTCTGCAGAGCCAGCATCCTGCGTGTGCTCTGGGCAGGAGGATGAGGATGGGCACAGGTAGGGCCAGCCACCGAGCGGCGATGGAGGCACTGACAGAGCCAGCACTGGTGCCATTCACTAGCAGCAAACTCTCTTGCTCGGGTTCACTCAGCTCTGGAGTTGTACAGGGAAAACGCTCTCCTCCTCCCGGCTGCGGGGAACTCTTCCAGCCCCCGAACCAAACAGAGCCTCAAAGACAGGCTTCATGGCTCCCATAACGTGGCAACAACTGCAGAAGCAAAAATTCAGCAGAGCCTCCCAGACCACGCTGCTACACGCATACTGCGCTGAACCAGGAAACGGCTGAAGGGTCAAGGGAGCCGGGAGTGACTGGGGAAGGGTCTCCAGTGAGATCAGTCACCGGGGAGCCGGGCTGCTCTCGGTGTAAATCCTCTGAAGGACCCGACCGCGCGCTCCCCCGGTGAGCAAACACTCTTGTTTGCTCCATTTCCCACCAAGAGCCGCACGGTAGCCTCACAGCTGCCAAGAAAATAATAAAGCCCGTGAAGTGCCTTTGCGCAGAGGAGCACTCGCCGGCGTAAGCATGGGAACCGGCTCTCTCCGCCACCGGTCTGCCCGTGCCTGGTACAGACAGCGCTAGCGAAGCCTCTCCCCAGCGACGTCGGCGAGAGCCGCTTACCCATCCGCCGTGTCAACCCTGAAATTACGCTCCAGCTTTCCCTTAACCAATTCTCCCCGGTCCCTTTTGCCGAACCACTGCGAGCGAGACGGGGAAAGACGGCGAGAAGGAACAGGAGGCGGCTCGCTCGAGACCACCCCGGAGGGGCGAGGGGGGCCTACGACGGAGAGAGGGGCTGCTAGGAGAAGAGTTACCACCTCGGCATCTGCTACAGCACCTCTGCGCACCTGCCCTGGCTCCTGTTCCCGTCCCCGCGCCTCCAACCCTCGTCCCTCCTACGTGCGCTGAATGCGAAACGGAGAAGCAGAGGTCCCCGCCAGAAACAGGGGAGCTGCCGGCAGAGACGGGCGGCCACCGAAGTTGTCTCGGGCCACCTCTGGGCTCGGTGCCCTCCGCCCGCAGGAGGCCAGCCTCGAGGAGATCTCTGCGATCGTTTGCTCCCTTGGAGTTTTGAAAGCAGAATGCCTAATCATGGCCAAAATCAGGTAAGAGCTGCCGCTGCAAATTACACGGCGCCACGGGTAATTTCTGATTAGCTCACTCTTCCTCTCCTGGTGCATCCTCAGTTTCCATAGCAGCTAAGTCCTAAGTAAAATGGAAACATCTGGTTCAAGCGCAGGTAAAGATTCCCTGGGGAAAGAAACCTGCTGGATGGCAGCGAAGACGGAAAACAGCGCTGGCGAAAGGCAGAGGCACGGGACGCCGGGAGCTCGGCGAGGAGAGGGTGGACGGCGCGCGGGGGGCACGGCAGGGGGGCAGCACGAGGGGATGCGGGCAGGAGAGCGGGGCAGCGGGGAAATCAAGATGCGTGTGGAAACCAGGCGGAGAGGAGCTCGAGCGAGACTGAAAGGCATCATCCGGGTAGACGAGGGGAAGAGGAGAAAGAAAAAGAGGCTTCAAGGTGGGAGCGCACGGACTGCCTCAACCCTAAATGCTGCCTGCTGGTGACAGATACAGCGACAGCGACTTCGATGTCACGGATAGATGCTCGGGGCCGGAGAGGAGCGCACGGAGCTGGGCCCTGCGTGTCATCACTCATCCGCACCCAGACCCCGTCGAGGCCACCCTCTTGGAGGCATGACCACCTAAGGCCAACATGTGCATGGTGGGAATGGCTTTTACAGAGGCTTCATCAAGGGACGGGGCTGAGATGCCACTGACTCAGCTCGCACTCTGCCCGGGCTACGGAGAGAGCGATGGATCTGGCCCAGCACTTTGCTACAGCGCAGACAAATAGCAAAGAAAAAAATCAATGGAGCTGTACTGAGACGCCGCAGCCATCGTCAGGCAGCTGAACAGAGTGAGCAGACACGGCACCATCCATCACTGCTGCTGCTGCGTCGTCTCCTTCGGCTGCCCGGACAGCCC